CAATGTTGGTATGTTTCATGAATTCTGGCCCGAACTGTGCAGCATGCGGACTCTCAGCGGACAAGAAAAAGACCACAACCCGATTCCAATGCGCTACCTTCAAGAAACGACACCGGGTACCATGTCGTTGGTGTTTACACGCATCTTACAATCACGTCGCTACGTTTACAAGCACTTGGCCAAGTGTTGTTGCAGGTGAGCATGTCGCCTTCTGCAAACAGGAGCGTCCGACGACCACACGGGGAGTCGGCATCAAGGGGAAAGCGCAACGTCCCTGGGGCTCGTGCCGTTTCATTAGCGTCACGCTGGGAGCAAAGATGTGCGGCGGCCACGACCCGTGCGCTCGGGACGGGGCCAACGGGGGTTAATGGGAGCTCACGGATGACTCCATCGCCTACTATTGATCATCATTTGGGAGAAGCGTGAAGACATGAGTCAAACTGACTCACTCGAAGGAATGTCTGAATGAGTGCGGGGTGCGATTCTGCCTCACAAAACTGGGAAATTGCCAAGGCGGAAACAGATAACAGGAAAAGGAAAGTTGCAGGAATGTTGCCATTGAAAATGGAAAGCCTCTGCAAAAGATGTGTTTGGAAGCGCCATGGTGATGAGCCAGAGATGGAATGGAGGGAGGTGGTCTGTCTTTGGTGGTGGTGGTGGTGAGGGGGCGGGGTGCTTAGCTCCCTACTGGTGTTAACTGTGGGTGGCAAGTAGATAAAAACGGCAAGATGAAGCCACGTTGTTTATGTTGCCTGTTTGTGGGCCGGTTGCATCCTTATGTCTCGGCTATGTAGCACAGAGACGCTAAATGGCGCCATAATGGAGATTAGCGCTTACACGGTGAGAAGGAAATGCACTTTTTACCTCCACCGGAGAGGTTTTGTTATTCTTTGGTTTAGCTATCTAGCAGGCAAAAAAAAAAAAAAAGAGGCCAACATTTCTTCTTCTCATGACATCTTAAATGCAGAACACTCACTCTTGGATGTCCACATTAAGTATGGGGGATCCCACCTGTCCTGCCTGCCCTGCTCCACACACACACACACACACACACACACACACACACACACACACACACACACACACACACACACACACACACCCCCCCGATACACCCTCCCACCTTTCCCGTGCCAACCGTGAGCAGCGGGTCATTGAGCGGTAAAGTGGTCCTAGAGCCGTCGACGCCACGCAGTGTGAAACAACGCATTAGGACGGCTCCCCCTACCAAATGTCGGCCAGGACGAGCCCCACCACGCATCCAGTTATCTCCGTGTGTGGCCCTCCACCCCACTCGACAGGAAACCTTATTCCACAAACAAGGAAAATATGTTGTGGATTTCATTTTGGATATACATGTCGTTGGGCATTTAATAATAGATGGGTTGAATTTTGCCGGTTCATGAGTGTAAACAAAGGTCATTATTTGAAGACTTTTTCCGATGGCTGAATTTGCTTGAATTAAGTACATTTATCAAGACTGAATTCATTAATTCTGTATTTAAAGTGACACTGTTGGTAGATATCTGAACTTGCAAATTCCTATTTGTGATTTTTGTCATTCCCGGATAAACAAAAAAATAAATCAGAAGGTACTCACCAATTCCGGAGTGAGTGAATAGTTTTTGTTTGTTTTTTGTTTTGTTTTTTTAACTGAGTACTTACTTGACGAGTTATGTGGAGGACTCCGTTCTATTTTTTCTTAAGTACTTTCACTTGAGGACAATTTTTGCCTTCGCTACCCACCTCTGGCCCAACCACTGACACATGAACAATCCAAAAACGGATTGCTGGATGGAAGAATGTACTGCGCAGGTGGACCGAATGAAGTGTATTTATGTGGACAGATGCATTGTGGGTAACTGACGGAGCCATGTTTGTGTGTGTGTGTGTGTGTATAGTATAATGTCATGTCTATTTCTTTTTTAAAATCGGGACATTTTGCTGATATTGTGCAACGTGATCTGTGGCTGCTGCACATCAGTTTCACACAGCGTGACTAAGCCGCAAGTAACAGGAGCTCCGGCCCACCGTCATCCCTGCGGACCCTTGTTTCCAACGCGCCACTATCCCCTTCAAGACCACCCCCCCCCCCACACCCACCGTAACCCCATTCCCAGTGGCGTCCACGGGGACCCCGTGAAAGCAAACAGTGAGGTCATCTCCGGGCTCTCATCGAGCCAGCCGGGATTACGCTGGCTGGCAAAGATGGACAAAAGGAGAGTGAACTTGGATTAAGTCATTAAAGTGCAGACTCCTGCAGCACAGGGACTCTTTACACGCACTCTCATGTTTTAGCCACCATGCATTGTCCACCAACTGGAACCAAAAAAAGAGATTCCTTCCAATGGCTACGGCAACATCCCCAAAGAATATTATTAAGACTCATTTCTAGCTGTAATTCCAGGAACCTGGAACTATATTCCTGTGATCCTACCATGCAGCGTTCCCCCAAAAGTTCCTGATTCCAGGCTTAAATTACTCTGGAACTCAATTCAGACAACAGTTCCCAAAAAAGGTTTGAGAATCTGGAACGGGAATTCTACTGTTATCTCTCAATGAGTGAAGCATCCCATATGACTTTTGTTTTTCCCTGCATGCACCTGCACACGCACACGCGCACACACGCACACACACACACACACACACACACACACACTGAAACACAAGCTCCAATAACATCCACGAAGGTAACACTAGAATTTTTATTGTATCAAACAGGTGGCGCCGACCTTCACGCTGGCTCAAATGTTGGGCACCAGGCACGCTCTAAGTGTGCGTATGCAAGGTGTGTGTGTGTGTGTGTGTGTGTGTGTGTGTGTGTGTGTGTGTGTGTGTGTGTGTGTGTGTGTGTGTGTGTGTGTGCACGCCCTTCACACCTCTGGAACAAATAGGGGGGGAAAAAAATGGAGTGACACACACAAGTACACACGCACACAATCGACACACAATGTGTGTTTGGACAGTAACGTTATTCCGGATGAGTTTTGGGGAAGCAACCTGTTGAAAATAATTCAAATCCCGTGTCAAAACACACACGCACACACGCACACAGCTGCAAAGAGGCGCTCATGAGTCGGCAAAGCGTTCCAATAGCTCGGCTAGCTTTCGCCTTTCTTTGTACTTTTCTCCTCTTCGCTACAGCGCAGGTTGTTGTTTATTTGGACTTGTTCTGTCCAGTGACGTTCAGGCGCCGAGAATAAAGAGTATTCTACAACCTCCCGCTGTTTGAATGGTTATTATTATTGGGATGATATCAATCTGTCATCAAATTCATTCCCAAAAGGCGTCATTAAAGACGGTCACGCCGGGTCATCATAAACGATCAACACGGAGCATCAGTGGGCTCAGACAACGGTTTCGGGTGACAAAGGTCCGTGTTCTTTACCCACTGTGGCGCGGCTTTGCGACGTGTTGTTTTAAACGCAGGCCATCGCGCCGCATGATGTCAACGCCGACATCCATCAATATCCTGTTAGATTCTCTCTGGAGCCGCTGGCATTAGTTGTTTATTTGGACTTGTTCTGTCCAGTGACGTTCAGGCGCCGAGAATAAAGAGTATTCTACAACCTCCCGCTGTTTGAATGGTTATTATTATTGGGATGATATCAATCTGTCATCAAATTCATTCCCAAAAGGCGTCATTAAAGACGGTCACGCCGGGTCATCATAAACGATCAACACGGAGCATCAGTGGGCTCAGACAACGGTTTCGGGTGACAAAGGTCCGTGTTCTTTACCCACTGTGGCGCGGCTCTGCGACGTGTTGTTTTAAACGCAGGCCATCGCGCCGCATGATGTCAACGCCGACATCCATCAATATCCTGTTAGATTCTCTCTGGAGCCGCTGGCATTAAAAAAAAACAACAACAAAACAAAAAAATTCTGACATTTGTCTCGTTTTCAGCCACCCCTGGAAGCTGCGATCGCAAGCTGATCGACGGATTGATGACAGCCATCTCGGCCTGCGTCATGATCACAGCGAGCCTCAGCCGTGCCGATGATATCCAAGTCTGACAGAAATGTTTTTATGCTGCACTGTCGAGGTTTTGCCGGAGTGGAAGTGCCTCCAGACGAGGGTCAGCGGGGCCAGACGAACTGGCCTATCGTCCACATCGGTCTGGCTGGGGGTGGGGGTGTCTTAGGGTACTAATCCGTCACTTTCCCAAATGAAGACAGAATCAATCAGGACGGGAGCGCGGCTCACTGACAGGCGAATGGCCAAACACCGCCTTGATTACGAGGGCGGCCCGGCAAAAAAGGACCAGCAGCTGCCGTCCCGCGGTTAATTAGCCCCGCCATCCATCGGTGGGGACGACGCTATTGAGTCATAACGCCAACGCCGCCAGTTCACGCAGAGTTAGCGGCTCGCGTTAAGGCCGGCTCCTCCTCACCGCTAATTGACAAACTTCAGCCGCTAGCACTTTGAAGCGCACCCCCCTTTGAGCCCCGAGATGCAATCGGGGGCCTCCCTACCCGGCCGCCTTTGAAATCCAAGCCCGCCCCGTCGGCCGCCATCTCGGGCCGAGAGTGAGAGGAGCCGTCTGTTAGCTTAGCTCAAGGGAGTGGGCGGGGGTGGTCGCTCTAGGTTTTGTTTTGGCTCTCTTTCGCCGCCGCTCTGGTACAAGTGAAATCAAAACACCAAATCGAACTTTTTTGATTGTTTGTTACAAATTCAGTCTCACCAAGCCCATTTAGGGATGTTACATCCCGCACATGCCTAAACGGATCAGGCAGCAAAGGATGATAACCCGGCACACCATTTTTCACAACTTTCAGTCCTCCCAGACCCATTTAGGTAAACGCTAGTTAAATCAAAATAATATATCGAAGTTGCCTCAAATGTTTGAAATTGATGTCAAAGCAGTAACACGCCTAAATTGAACTCCGCATTGGTTTGTGCATTGATGGCTTGACTTTGCACAACTCTTAGAAAGAGACACCTCACGTAGGGGGTAGAAAGGTGTTGTGGCCAGTGAGTGTCAAGTCCTCGTACTTACAATTATTTCCAGTCCCCGCTGAGGTCCCGGTGCACATCCGGATGAATGAAGAGATCATTCAAGGCAATTCCTACAGACAAGAAAGCTATATGTCACAAAAGATCTTCATTCTGTGGGTTATAAACGCGTCTCCTTTATTGTTGCTTAAAACTTGCTGTCTTTATTGAGATGAGTCCACTTTTCCCCCAGCGGCCCCTTTTTTACAATGTGAATCAGTGCAACACCAGATTGGCTAATCCATTTCCCAGGTGTGCAGCCGTCTTACATGCGCGGTGGCGTCCGTCACGGTGCGACCCCGCTCGGAGATGGACGCCCTGTCGGGAAGGGAAAGCAGGCGGGAGGGCTGAGGGCACAGGAGGGGGGGTTCCCAAAGTTCACGTTCATTAACAAGTCTGCTGCCGAGCATCCATGTCAGCACTGCCGCTAAGTGCCTCCCACCTGGAAGGACGACACACACACACACACACACACACACACACACACACACACACACACACACACACACACACACACACACACACACACACACACACTTACTTTCAGGGTTTGTGTGTTTTTCTAGACTTTAGTTCTGCTATGCAATGTATGCTATGATCCTGTTAAAAGATTTGTCTCACTTTATTGATTTTATTCATATGATGATCATTGGTAGACTAGGTATATCGTTGACGGGCATCATTCTTGTCTATGCTTGCATTACGTTATACAGTAGTTTCATGTTTGACTTCAAAGCCAAAAAAATAAAAAGGTAACACTCCGTACGTTACATGAACGATTTTGAACATCAAAATTGTGATCTCTGATTACTTTTTGGGGTCTGTGGGACAGATTTACGCTCCGAGAGGCCTGCTTGACTTTGCGCCCAGGATATGTCATGATTCTCCCTGACAGCTGAAGCTTCACCCCCAGAACCCCCAAGCACCCCTCAACTCCCCCTGAGGCGAATCCTGGATTTACGGCACAGTAGCCCGCTGGCGAGAAGACACAATCGGGGGCCACAAAAGGAACGGGACAGAAACAATCCTTTTATGTTAAAAATGCATCTCAAGCTCAAGTATTCATCAAGTTTCCTGAAATGGGTGTCCTTTATTACACGTCAGCTTGGAGCTAACATTAGCACCGCCAGCAACGGAGGACCGGCAAAATTTCAGAAAACAGACCGATGGGTGTATGTAAAATGGTTGACTTTCACATTTTTAATTTTCTTCGCAGTAAATCAATGACATAATTAATGAATAAATTATGTCAGTGTCAGATATATATGTAAAATGGTTTAAGATTTGTTTTTTTTTTGTTTTTTTTTACATATTACTCGAATGCAAAAATGAATTAAAATACAGACCAATTTTAGGGAAGCACTATTTATTTTTTTCTTTGACAAAATGCATCAAGTATCACACGACTGTTGGTGGGCCAGATTCAAGATTCTTGCTTGCATGATTTTAACATATTTCATACAGCTTGAATTTATGCGCCAATCAGCACTCCCTTTGTCACTAGTGCGAATCAGTGGACAGTTCGTGTTCATTCGCAGGTCTAGTGACCGGCACGCCCCCACCGTGAAACGCGACGGCGTCCCATCACGCTCATTTTTGCTTGAATGCCTCTTGTTGTGTTTATGAGAGGGACGTCCATTTGCCAAGTGTCCATCTTTTTTTTTTTTTTTTTTTTTTTACAGGCAAGACACAGTATAGCTATGCTAGCCGGCTAGTGGCTAATGCTAGTTCAAGCTAGGACGTCCCATCACACAAGGTCATGCGGTTGGGTAAAAATAGGAATCCACCACATTGCCGCGATGAAGTTTCCAATTGTGGACCTGCAAGTGGGGCCAGACCACCACCTCCCAACTTTTTGGGGGATGCATAACTTTAACACCGTTTTAACAAAGTCTAACATCATGCAATAACATCGGACTAAACGTTGACTGTATAAAATGATTCATCAGATTCGATCAGGTGTTTTTTGCTTATGCTCGCCTTGGAGTTGCACCAACTGTGAAAAACACCTAGCATAGCAGTCATGACTGTTACTCAACCTTGGTTTTCAATAATTATTGGATATTTTTTAGTTGTTGTTGTTGTTTTTGGTCACATTCAACTCAATGGTGGGCCGGCGTTGGTAAATTTAGGTACAGCTGTAGTTTCATAGTTGTGAGTATATTGAGAATATTCACTGTTTGCCGGCACCTGTTGTGAAATGTGAGGTGACATTAGTATAGTGTGTGTATTCCCCACGCAGTGTGTGTTTAAAAAAAAAAAAAAAGATGGTAGTGGCCAAAGCCCAGGATAGGGTTTCACATTCTATATATAAGCCTGGTGGGTGCCGAGTGTTGCGGCTATTTAAATGCCACAGCAGTCGCGCTTGATCGAGCATACGCCACGTCGCCACAATATGATGGACCTTTTCGAGACCAACGCGTACCTCTTCAACGATTTGCGCTACTTGGACGACAGTGACCATGGTGCGTTGCAGCACTTGGACATGGCGGGCGTGTCACCGCTCTACCACCCCGCAGCCGCCGAGGACGACGACAGCCCGCCGTCGCCCGGCCGGGAGCGGGCGGCATCTGAGACGGGCGAGGACAGCAGCGGTGAGGAGCACGTCCTGGCGCCGCCCGGCCTCCGCGCCCACTGCGAGGGTCAGTGCCTGATGTGGGCCTGCAAGGTATGCAAGAGGAAGTCGGCGCCCACCGACCGCCGGAAGGCCGCCACGCTACGCGAGCGGCGGCGCCTCAAGAAGATCAACGAGGCTTTCGACGCGCTCAAGAGGAAGACGGTGGCCAACCCCAACCAGAGGCTGCCCAAGGTGGAGATCTTGCGCAGCGCCATCAGCTACATTGAGAGGCTGCAGGAGCTACTGCACAGCCTGGACGAACAGGACCACTCTGCTAAACAAGACACTGTAAGTGGACCAGGCCGACGAGACTTTCAACCGCGGTAACGCGTGAATCCGCTTTTGATGACCAACGCTATCATAATGAAGGTCAGGAAACTGACCTAAACTGAGAAGATATCCAACTTGGGAACGTGGACCGCAACACGACTTAAAATTGAAGGTCCTATTGAGAAAACACCCAGTAGTCTAGCCTGAATGGCGAGCTAACAATTTACACGAGTCTGCTTTGGATGACGGCTGGGATAAGAACACAGCGGAAAGATCGAAACTGACCAAAAGTGTGACAAGGAAAAGTGTAAAGCAACGTGACTTAAACTTGAAGGTCTGAGAAAGAAGGAATTCCCAGAGAGCCAGAGTGCTCAAGCATCAATGGCTAACTTTCAATTGACACATGAATCCGCTTAGGATGAATAAAGAAATAAAAATACAGCAGAAAGAAAATCAGAATCATCTTCATTGGCCAAGTATGTAGAACACAAAAGGAATTTGTCTCGGGTAGTCCAGGCTACACCCATATTATCAATAACAAGCAACTACGATAAACAGGTACCTGACAAATAAGGATGCATAGACTTTCCGTAATGTAAGGGTACCATCGTGCAGTCCTGCCACCCAATGACAGCTGTGATACAAAGCGCAAAGTATCAAGCAGAGCTCAAGTGATCAGTGGTAGAATACAGTACTATGACAGTTGTGCAGTTTGACCAGGAAAAGCTATTGACTCCAAAGCGCCGGGATGCTAGCCAACGTACTAGCTAGTTTGAGCTCCATCCCAAACCGCGTTTCTCAAGATTTTGCTGCAAAACGCTCCCAAAAAGAGGCTAGCGATAACAATGGCGTTAGCATTACTTTGCCTGTTATGAAGTTGGCGGACAACGGGCTTACTGGAAATCGTCAGCACATGTTTGCTTTGTGGTCGTATGTCACGCATGATCATTGCGATATTTACAGAGCGACACTTCCATGATTAAAAACACGGGGTCGTGTCTCCAGGCGATTGCTCCTGGAAACCATTGGAAAAAGTCCTGCGAGACCTGGACCAACGCGGCCGACCATTCCAGTGCTGGATCGGTGATCCCGAGGGAGGGTAAAGTGCCGCCAAACATTAAACCATTTTTCCCGCAATTAAATGTCAATTTTTTTACTTTTTTTTTTTTTTTTTTTTCCGTTCAGGGTCCAGCGAGTCTTCGGCGTCCTGCAGCCTTCTGCGTCTGTCGTCTATCGTGGACAGCATCAGCAGCGGCGGCGGCGGCGGCGACAATGCCGCTTCGGAAAAATAATTTCCCAGAGTTCCTCCCATCTTTATCTTGGTGTACATATTTTATAACTGTCAGAATTCAGATGTATGTATTTATTTTATAATCGAGTGAGGACAAACAAAGGAAGCTGTTGTACTATTTAATAATTTATACATAAAAATAAACGGCTTCTTTTGGAAACAGCTCGAGAAATGGGGTTGTTTTTGAATGACCGCATCGAATGGGCTCCTATACAAGAAGTGTTTAGTGCGTGAGCTGTTTTGAGCACGAAGCAGACACAAGAAACCCGATAGCACCAACAGCGATGTGATTTTTTTTTATGGTGTTCTGCACCCCCCGACCCCCTCCCTCCCCTCCGTTCCACCCACCGGACCTCAATTTCACCCACTTTGCTCACCCGCTCATGACTTGACACGCCGCACCTCCCTTCGTGCTTTATCATCTGCTCATCGGCTTTGGGAAAGTTCCTCTGAACGTTAACACGAATACATTCGGAAAACGGAGTCAAGAGACAAAACGTGAGGGCCACCAAATGTGGGGTTTTCCCCAATGAAGTTTCAGCTCAGGATCACCAATTTAGCAAAAAAAAAGAAAAAAAAAATCAGCTTTTGGGTGTCATTTGAGGCTTTGCCCTTCTCTCCTTCTCAAGCCGCGACGCGGGTTTGATCGCCGCCGATGTGTTTGTCAGCTGTGCGGGAGTAATTCGGGGGTGTCGCTGTGTTGTTTTAGGTGCGCAAAGTTCCCAGAGAGGCGAGACAAACGCTTTGACACGTTGTGAGAAATCGCCGCATTGTCGCCGCGCGACCGTTGACGGCACAACATGAAACCCTCGCTGGCGCTCTTTTTTGGTGATCCGACACAATTTCGAAGAAAAACTTACATCCTACATTCCGTCAACTCCATGCTGACGGAATGTAGGACATATTCAAAAGAGACGAAATCACAGAAACTCAGCATTGCATGAGAAGTGTCACATATGTGGCATGTACTGTACTTCCATTGCACATGTGATCCCTTGAAAAGACAATATCAAGCTAAGCTAAAATTTTGATCATCATACACGTCAAGTGGTCACGACCAAATATATTGGTGTGGTCGTCAAGATCGAGAGCGAGCTCATGTCTTCCTTTTTTGCGAAGGGAAATTATTGTTCACATTTTTATGTTATTTTTCCAAAATCCTGAAAATGTTAAACCTTAAGAGTTGTAAAAACAACAACAACAATCATAGCTCCAATGAGACTTTTCTGCCCTGCAAGCTTCATGACGCAAAGTCTAAATATCAAGTGAACTAACGACATAAAATTGCAATTATTGGATCCAAATCAGAGTAAATGCGCACAGTTTTGTCGGCGACTCGGAAGATTAGCTTTGCAAGTGTAAGAAATGACGGCAAGGCGCATTTGGAAGCGCCGCCGGGCCATCTGTGTGACGTCAATGAGCTTTCACGGCTCAAGTTTGGCCAAAGAAGCGCAAGTGGAAGTGGGAAAAAGTGTGGCGAGCGGAATGAAGGTTGGCGCCAACGCCTTCGAGGTGTTTGCTTGAAATGGGACACCTTTGCCTCGCAGCTGCGGCCAGTGGCGCTCACAAGTGCCACCGACGTCTACGGAACGTTGAGGTCTCGTGACTTTAGGCACCCACTTTCGCTTGAAAAAAAAAAGAATGAGTTCACAGTTGATTGTGTTTTTCCCCAAAATAAAAGCTATTCGGTCGGCACTTTGTCGTACAATAGCGTACTTGCAATTTGGCATTCACACATTGACCAAATAGTGTTTTTTTTGCCGGGGGCGGGGGGGGGACTCATCCTGCTTTGCTCTGGAAGCTCACACTATTTACTGTTGACAGTCTGAAACCGGATGTCTGGCCTCTAAACGATATATCGATGATCAAAATAGTTGTTGATTCATGTGACCATGTTGTCCATGAATCAATGAATTCTTGCACCTCAATATAAATGGTACGAACAATTATGCGAATGGCCTGACGAAATAATCTCTCCTTGTTCATGTGTCTCTGCCAGCGCCGCATCGAGCAATTAATTCGGCTGCGCATTTTTGATTTTCCCAAAGTCAAATTGGCAGTTGCTAAAGCGTGTCTTGAGGAACAGGGGCAGACTCGCGAGGGGGTCCGAGTGGGAAAAGATCAGCAAGGGCAGATGTGGGAATGTCAGCAGGCAGGGCATTGGTGCGAGGAGGGATAGGGCAGGGCCAGTGGGCCGCGGTAATTAGATCTGGCCCCGGGGCATAAAAGGGGGGCCCGTGGGCAGCGGACCCCTCACATCCCTCAGAGGTGGCCTCCGCTCCCATAAGCATGGACGTCTTCTCCACGTCGCAGCTCTACTACACCGCCCCGTCGCCGGACGCCCTCCACCTGGCCGAGGACGACTCGGACGAAGACGAGCACGTGCGGGCACCGGGCGCGCCCCCGCACCAGCCGGGCCACTGCCTCCAGTGGGCCTGCAAGGCCTGCAAGCGCAAGTCTAGCTTCGTGGACCGCCGGCGCGCCGCCACCATGCGAGAGCGCCGCCGCCTCAAGAAAGTCAACCACGCCTTCGAGGCCCTGCGCCGCTGCACCTCGGCCAACCCCAGCCAACGCCTGCCCAAGGTGGAGATCCTGCGGAACGCCATCCAGTACATCGAGAGTCTCCAGGAGCTCCTCCGGGAGCAGGTGGACCACTACTACAGCGGCTCCGAACCCGCCAGCCCTTTGTCCAGCTGCTCCGACAGCATGGTGAGACCCCCGCGCACCCCCGACACACAAACGCCTATCGACAGTAGACACCATTTTCCCAAGCTAGGATTTCCAATTTGGAATAACTGTGAAACTAATAAGGGAGTGTCCCCCCCGTGTCCCCCCGCCACCCGACGGATGCGCCAGGAACACCGCTCAAGAAACAAATGTCCGTTTTAGAAACTGATTCCCGGTCACAAAAAGCTAGATTTCCAATTGGGAACTCATCCTAATCCCCGCATCTCACTTAATGCCCCCCCCATAGCCCACCAGGTGAAACACTTGAGAATGTCTTTTGCGTTCACTTCTCCACCAGCCCTAAAAAGCCACCCTGCCAAGCTAGGGCAAAAAAAAAAATCTCCAAAGGATGAAAAGTCAGATTTACCATTTGTACCCTGTCTGGCCCTTGCCCCTCAATTACGGCACCCCATGATCCCCCGCATGTCAAACTCCCACTACGCGTCCTCACTTTCCCGCCAACCCTAATATTTCTCCTTTAAGAATTTCTAGTTTAAGAAGTTCGAGAAATTCTTTCCGGGTTTTAGAGCTAGATAGACGCCCACAATTTGCGCACCCCGTCGCCATTGAGTTTCCCACCGCCGTAGTTCTACAAACTTGTTGAAGTTTAGGAATACACACATATGTCACCCTGAGACACAAACATCCACCATTAGCTGCTCCGTACGCCTTTCGCGGTGACTTTCCCACTGGTGCTAAAAATCCATTTTACAGAGGTCGAGGAAAAAAAATGAGAGCATTCCGACCGCCTGGCGTACCTCTGCCACGACGGGCGCAGATTTACAAGGAGAAAGTGTCATCTCGCACAAGCTGCTGTGGCTCGCACGGACTCAATCAATTGGCCACGCTGGGGAAGGAAAGGAAGGAGACCTCGCTGTCCCGCTTTAGGCTTCAAGGCGCACCCCCCCGACCCTACCAGCACAGGATTTATTAGGCTGTCCACAAACTCAGGAAGGGCAGAAATATTTATGTATTCTGCTTGGTTTTTTTTCCTCCTTTCAGCCGGACAGCAACAGTCCAGTGTGGCAGCAGCTCAACTACAGCAGCGCTTATTCCTATGCTAAGAACGGTAAGAGCTCTCTCACACTCAGCCGCCCCCCACTCCCTCCATTATCCCGGTGAATAACAACAATAATCTCCCTGCAGAGAGTCTGTCGGACAAGCCGGCGGGTGCGTCCAGCCTGCAGTGCCTTTCCAGCATCGTGGACCGGCTGTCAATGCCCCAATTCGGTCGCCGGGCCAGCCAGGCTGTCCCGTCGCCCACCAACTTGGCCGACACGCAGCCGTGTACGCCGGGTAGCCCCGTCTACCACGTCCTGTGAGGAACTCGGCAGTTGTTTCTTTGTACAGTGCGCGATCAAATTGTAAATATGAAATGTAAATGCTCATTTATTGACACACTTATTAAATGTTTTCTTTTGTACCAGGGAATTTGGTGTGGTTGGTGTCAAAAATCTAAGCAAGTGTTACCAACAGGAATGGTGAAGGGAGGTTCGGGGGGGTGCGTGAGAGGAATTGGTGAGGGACCAACCGAGTGTACTTATTTGTTCTTTCCAACCAAATGTGAGTCATCACCAACACCCTTGATGATTTCATCAACACATCCACAGTCGAGAGCAAATGGCCTTTAATAGCACGTTTTGTCGGATTGGGGCGGGGGCTTTGTGTGAAAGGGAATCACGACTTCAAGGGTGTCACCCTGAGGTGAAAAAAATAGGCAACCACCAAATAACATTGACTTGCTCAAAAACATACTACAGTACTTGATGTGGCTTGGACTCATAGTATTGCTAAACAGTGGGTGAAATAGTCACTTTTTTTTTTTTTTTTTTTTTAAAGAAAAATGACAAAGAGCGACCAATGACAATTTGCAAAAAGCAAATTATTTCACTTACTTTTCAAATGACGTGCTAACAGTGCAGCACTCCGCTAAAAGTTGAAACACGTGGAACAACTTAACAAAGTAATATCATGTGTCTATTTTTTTCTACATGTTTTCAGCATTATTGTAATGAATGAAAATGAAATTTATGGTATATTGTGACATTCATTTGCACTTGATGGCTTTGTTTGCGGCACTCACCAATGCAGCAGAGAGACAACGGCAGGCATAGCAGGCATTCCAGGTGGCGGCTTGAGGTCCACTGACCTCCCTAACTTTGCATGCAACACTAAATGTCACCCATGACATTTTTCCATGAGACGCGTCATGCTCGGGAATGGCCAGGCCTGTGTCGAACAAACCAGGATTAGTATGACATGCCGTTTTAGAAAAATTTGCATTACCATTGTAGGTTTTGTTAGGTTTCGTTTAGATAATTCATTCAATTAAACTATGTCGATACCATGCTGATCATAGGCATAAAAATGCAATTCAAAGTGCTTCAACACCTACCTTTTTTAATATTTCCAATACATCAACAAACCAATTATTTGTCTTTCTGAATTAGCTATAATGTTTTAAATGTATGTGTAAATTGGGACTATTGTAAACTTTTTAAGTCATGTTTTCTCAAAAGTGCTTTGCTACAGCTTCAACTGTTGTGAAAGCGCGAAAAAAATAAAGCTGAGTTGAGTCATTTTTCCTTCTTACTTTCTTAACGAGTACGCAGCCCTTGACTGTAGTAACGCGTTATGCCACTGGGCGGAGCTGTTTCATTGCCATCATTCTTTCTACTTCCGTTACTTGACTCAGAACTCGAACACCAAATAAAAAAACTTTACCTGACATTAATCTATTTAGTATTTTACTTTAACTTTAAAAACATTCGATTTTTTTTTTTTGAGAGAAGCGTTTTCCCCCATCGTGACATCACATTGGAAATGCCACTTAACTCGCCCATTCAAAACTAATGAGAATGATCAGGATATTAGCTTAGTCCCACGATGGTTCTTTGAGGCTCATTTAACTTTAACACGTTAAATAGCCATAAACTTAATATAGTGCTGTTGTTGTTTCAACACACACGCCAAACATTGCCAACCAGGTAGTTTTTTTCGTGTCAACGGACAATTAGTGAGAATAATTGACATTACCTGTCACGCCGACTTCGAGATCCGGTCATGAGACGGAAGTTATTTTAGTGCGTCCTTGGCTATTAATGCTAGTCTGCTGCCCCCTTGCGGCAGGGAGCATAGATAGATAGATAGATAGATAGATAGATAGATAGATAGATAGATAGATAGATAGATAGATAGATAGATAGATAGATCCTATATTCATCTCGTGAGGAAAATAAAGTGAAAACAAGGGCACTCTGTTCACTGTACACAAGAACATATTTATTGATACAAATATAGTATTTAGAACAATTCCATATCAACAATGTCTTTTTTTTAATTTATTTAAATGATTCCAAGATAGAAAACAATGCGATGCGACGTCAAAAATGTATCATGTTTATTATTATTATCATCACTGGTACAAATATGGCAGTGTGTCACGTGTTACACTTGAAATGAAGTGATCAGTCATGAATATTATAAAATGTGAGGATAAAGTGTATATTCTTGTGGGGTTTTTTTGGTCGGTCTGGGATGACTAGAAGACAAAATAGTAAGGAAAGAAAATATAAACACACACACACACACACACATATACACACACACACACGCACACACACACACACACACACACACACACACACACACACACACACAGACACACACACACACACACACACGCACACACACACATACAAACAAAATGAAATGTTTGAAGAAGAAAGAAGGAACACTGGATTATTGTATCCGAGGAAAGAAACATTCCACATTTTCACCAGCAATGATTGTCAAAATACCACCATCCACATCATCTGCACAATGTAAAGATCTTCCATAATAATCTTTCAAAATGTTCACAAAGGGAACAATAAAACTCTGATCGTTAATATAAATTAACTATGACAAATAAAGATAAATCTGGTGTATTTGGGTTGGAAGAAGCTGACATTCTGCTCGTCTAATAGAGAATTATTGCACCAAAACAAGGGGGAGAGGAAATTATGACAAAGGATTCAAAAATCAAATACATTTGTGAGAAAATAGGAAATACATTTATATTTTACTCTTATTTTTAGAACATTATTCATCGATGAGTACAAATTCCTAATCCAAATAATAGATTTCATTGACATTTGTCTGGTTGTGTTTATTGCTAAAGCTACCGAATACAAAACGAGTCTTTTGCTACCATTAAAAACTTTTTTTTTTGTCTCAAAAACAATGTTCAAAAACAAGCACTTTCAGGACTGAGGCATGATGGGGGAAAAAACAATGGAAAGACAGTAAAGAGAAGACAAAAGGTTAAAAAAAGTTCCTTTTTTTCCCCCCAAGCACCAAATTTGGGACAAAACGCTTGCGTTGTTTTTCAGCTCAGGAACGCCAGGATTGATGCAAGAGTCGTGCTAACTCCAAGAACTTCAGATTGGTCGGCATCTCCAAGAGATCCTGCAGACATCGCATTGGCCTTACTTTTTCTTCTTCTGGAACAACCTGACAGACAATGACGAGAACAAGCTGAGAGCAGTTGTCTGTTGTTTGGCAGGTCATCCAACTTTGGAACTCTGACCAAAATGAGCCTTTTTTTTTTTTTTACCCCAAGCTCCCCACCCTGCCATAGCCATGAAGCGCCTCACCTACGACGTGTGATTCTGCTGAGTGGACATGTTGTGCTGCTGCTGCTGCTGCATGAGCAGCTGCTGCTGCTGGCGGCGGCGGGCGGTGCGCAGCTTCTCAAAGCGCGCTTCCATCTCCTCCAACACCTTGGGCGTGTAGCGCACCACCAGCTTGACGCTGTCCTTGGCCGCCTTTAGCAGCTCCACTGCCTTCTCATGGTGCTCGCCCTCCACGCTCTGCAAACAGCCCAAAACGAGATGAGGAATTATTTTGTGTCATGTTGCTAGGTCAAACTTGGTTTTGGAAATGAGGTTTCAATTAAAAAAAAAAAAAAAAAAAAACATGGGGCAGGGCACAGATCCCTGGAATCAACCACTAAATGGCTCTCTTGAATCCAAAATGGCAGGCTTCCTGTTTTGTACTTTTATCAGTACTTCATCTTACGCTTTGTGTGTACTTTTCTCGATGATACGCACCACCCCGTTGACGGACAAGAGCTGGTCGCCTCGCTTAAGACTGCCGTGGCGCTCGGCCACCCCACCGGGAATGATGCGTGAGATGTAGATGGGCGAGTTCTGCTCCTTGCCGCCCATCACATTGAAGCCCAGCCCTTCCTCCGTCTTCGGAAGCTCCACCACCCGTGGGTGCGAGTGGCCCTCGCTGGCGGCAAAGGCGGCAACCGTGGCCTGGGTCCAGAGGAGACGCTGATTAGTCGTGATAATCTTTCAATATATATATCGATATTAAGAGGCGTGCCCCAATCCTTTTGTCCTCATATTAGCTTCGTCTCCATATCCTGATGATTATTTTTATCTTTTCCTGCTACGGAATCAAAAAGCGACGCGTCGACCTTCAGCCGACTTCATCGAGGCGAGACGAAACAATCTGGCAGTTGCAAAACACTGGAGGCCCTTTTTGCAGAGATAAAACACTTGGCAGCGCCGCGCTGCCTCGGCGGGAATGAGTTCCGACTGCATGGTGTCTGTTCTTACCTTGGCTGTGGCTCTGGCCTGGTACTCGGGGCAGCCGTTGACGGTGATGGTTTCATGCATGTACTGGTACACCTGCGAAGAGAGACGCGCCCAGGATTGGTTATACGAGGGTAACGAGCGCCGCACACCGCTGCACCCGGAGGTGATTGGGTACTCACTTCGCGGATGGCGGTGCAGAACTCGCTCTGGAGCACCTTCTTCAGCGACTGCAGCTTGTAAGCTGGAACGTCGCCTGACTCCTGAAGCTTCTCCAGAAGCTCAATGGCCCTGGCCACATCTGGTCGGCAAAAAGAAAGTGAGAGGCACATGACTAGCCTACCTCGACAGGCATGATTAATTGAATTTGGTGGGATGGCTGTCATGTTTGTAGCAATGAGATTATGTTGTGTGTTTGTCTGCCTGCGGCATTGATTCCAGTTTGTACCACTTGAAATTAGTGACATTTTTTTCAGACTCTGAAGATTTTTATAGCTGTGCCTAGAAAGGTACGATGAACCAAAGAGGGAATAGTCACCATGAAGAAAATATGGCAAATGTTGCCCTTTTAGCTCAACTCTTTGGCTAATTGGGCTGATGTTGTGTTGGAGAATGGACTCCACCAGATGGCAGCCCAATTAATTCAGACCCAACGGGTTGGTCACCTCAACAGACAGCTGTGGCAATATTAATCTTGCTCTTTTGACTGGAATCCGAGTGAGTGTCCATTGTGTTTTCCTCAACACAATTCGGTCGCATCCAGCAGAGGCCGATTTTCAGGGCGACGCCTCCATAGGCTTGATTAATTGATTCTTCGCACAGTGCTGTTCCTCTTCTTTTTTGGCGGCATGAGAGTTTGGGGCCAGGGAGAAAACATGACAGTGTAATTGCAGTCCACTCGCTATTATGTACAAGTGGGTCATTGCGGCGGATGTGAGAGGCACGAAACATGGACGGCGCCAGCACACAAAGCAGCCAGAGGGTGAGGAAAGACCCCAGAGGACCGCCTCAAACCCATGACATCATTGGGAAAATCATTTCCTTCAGAACTATAACAGGAAGCGCCATGGTGGACCCGGGACCACATCCGCTTACTGCTGCTACACAGCGCCTGGCCAAAACTCGAGGGTTGTGCAAGAAAGGTCCTTTTTAAAACTCCAAATAGAACAATACTAGCATGATTTAACTTGCCTTTATTAGTTATAAACTGATATTTGATGGGAGTGCGCAGGAAATCAATCAATAATAATGCTTGTATGATTAAACCTGATGCCTTTATTAGTGACAAACTGACATTCTTCAGGGTGTGGACACATGTGCGGGGGGGCGGGGGGGGCATCTCAAGATGTTGAAGGGGGTGTGCAGGAGGATCGCCTGTTTATTGCCAATAAAGGCATCATGCTCAATCGTACAAGTTTTATTATTGAGCTATTGAGTTAAAAATGACATATCGTGCGCACCACCCACAGGTGCAACACAGATCCCCGTGCTCACTCATTGCGTTGGCAATTCCCGGCGCACCACATGATGTAAACTATTCAGGAGTGTTTTCTCAAACATGTCGAAACCCGAACGAAAGCATTCATCACGCAGCGGCAACTTCTCCCACGTGATTGACGTATTGCAAAATGAGAAAGAGGAATCATAAATATATTTATAGCCCATGTCTGTCGGGATTGGTGCGCGGAATAGCCGCGGTATCTTCTTTCCGCCAACATCATATTTGAGTGAGCGTCTTTTTTGAGGCGCTATTTAAAAAAAAAAAACCTAAGCAAAAGAGCTACATAATAATTAATCCCCGATGATTAATTTCAGTGCCAGCAAATCAACAGCATGTTTATTATTTATTGGCATCAATATCGTATTGACAGCTATTCCGAATATCGCTATTCAAATTATTAGGCACTGCTAACAGTGCAGCACACAAGAACACTTTGCAAAATGTAACACTAATCAATATCAAGCGTATTAAAGTAAAAGCACACACGCGCATGCCTGACTGGCATACGCTCGCGCACGTTACAAAATATACACGATTAATCATAGCAACGACGGCGCCACCGTCATAATAATAAGCGTCGTCGCGTAAAAGCACGTGAACGCACCATCGTGCATGCCAGCACGTGAATACAACATTTGGATGGAGCGTCGGAATCACGACGTTGTTGGCGTACAGATCGCAACGGCACCGCGATCCGTCGCATCAAAATGACATGACGCTGAGAGGTGGTCGCGTCGACGAGGAACAAGCTCCTCACCTCGATCCAGAGTGAGCGGCTGTTGGAGCACCGTCGCCATGGCTGGAGGACGGAAAAGGTGGAGTGGAGGAGCCGAGCCGGAGAGCGAGCGCTGGATGGAGGCAGGCAGGAAAGCAGGCTGCAGCAGCTCTCTCTCTCTCACACACACACACACACACACACACACACACGCACACACACAC